ACTTTGTATATACTTACCATGCTTGTATATTCGCAAGTGAAATATACAAACATGCAAGCGAACTATACTAAGCGCAATCTCCATAGCAAACAGAACTATAGCTATGAAGCGCAATTACCGAAACTACAATTATAAAGCCTTATTATGTCTATTATCTTTGCAATTTTTGAATTTTTTTTTGTAATCACTTAATTAATCGAAACTCTAATCTCTCAACTTACGTGAGAAGATTTGGCAAAAAGGCCATTTTCAAAATTTGATTTGCAAAATACTTAGTGAATTTTTTATTTTTGCTTTATTTTTCAGTTTTGGAATTCAGTAAATTGAATAAAGATGGGGTCATGGTATTATTTATAATTTTAGAGTGTTTGAAGTAAGATTTTAAGTTTATTAATAATTATATTTGGGTCCATATATATCTAGTTGTCTTTGATACAGAAGGAACACTAGTTTTTTAAACGCGAATTCAGATTAGTCAAATTTCAAAATAATAATAATAAATGATCTGGTGTTTTCCCTTCTTTGCTTCTACCTTTTTTTTTAAATTTATACTGAAAAGAAAATAACGAATTAAGGGTTTGTTTGGTTAGACATTAGTTATATTGAGATTTATTAGGTTGGAATTAGCTATTATAATATTATTATTTTTGTTAGTTGTTTGATTTGTTGTTATAAAAAAAAGTGCATTGCATAATTTCTAAAAAGAAAGTTATTTATTTACAAAATAGCATTCACCTTATTTAATTGTAAAAAAGGGTTTGAGAGAACTTAAGGATATCTTTGTCATTTTCATTGTTTATCCCGTGATAATTATATCCATTACCATTATCACTCACAAAAATAACTTATTTCGATACTAATTACAAAATTTATTCATAATTAGTAACTAAACAATGAATAAGATCGATAGTGTATACTAAATTCTAATCCAAAAACTATTTATGCTTTGTCCAGTCAAAAAGCATCGTAAGTTCGTAAAATGAACTTGAATTGCATAATTTGTATTGAAAATAACTAAACATTGCACTAGCTATGCACCTACTAGCTAGAAACCAATTTTGCAAGTCATATTCTAGCTAAAGTAAAAATTTAATGTTTGATATGTCGGTTCAAAGTCTTTAGTTGTAGTTCCAACACGTAGAAAAAACTTGTCACGTCCCTTTTTCTCCAATATGATGGACCACTAAATTGGAGTCCACTTGCCTATGGGATGTTAGATTCTATGCTCTATAAAGTAGTCTCCACTATAGGGAGGTTTAATATAGTAAATTAATATAGCTATCAGACATCGAGAGTTATAATGGGATGAATATATTTTTTTCTCGTTTTTAATTTGAGTTTTCGAGTTCAAACCTCGTAAGTGACAATATTCCTAAAGGGGAATTCTCCTCCTTCATATGGTGTGAATTAGACTTAGTCGAGCTCTGCAATGAGTATCGAATATTGAATAGTCAAAAGAAATAATAATAACCTATAGTTTTGGTAGTATGCTATATTTGCCAAGTTGAAAAACAAAGTGGTTGGTTGGTGTCGTAGTAAACATCTAAGGAGTAAAGACACGCCATGTTGAGGCCCATTTAATTGGATTAAGCCCAAGAAATCCAATCCCAAACAAATAGAAGTGTCTAAATAGAGTGGGGTCCATGATTGGAGATAAGCCCAAGAGAAGTGACAAGACTGAGAATCATAACTAACTTGTATTGTAGCGTTGAGATTGCTTTATTGTTTATCACAAGTCTTTATTCGAGTCTTGGATATGAAAAAAATTCTATTAGAAACATAATCCACCAATAGGACCTGCAAATTGTATTGCGCGATCTCAATTTAATTGGAGCTCCAATATGACTGTGGACATCAAGTGGAAAAAATATATAAAAAAAAGACCAAGAATAATAGTCATCATAGTATGGAACTATAGACTTTAGAGTAGTAGTACTAGTAGACAAGTGAATGTTGGAAAATGCCAAGTCAATAAACAATGTTTCCATCTAATCAACCTCTTCATTCATAAAATAAAATTAGGGAAAATAACATAAAGCAAAAACCTCTTCAGTCATAACTCATAAACACCAAATTGTAGAATAGTCCAAAAGTATTTCGACAACAATAACAATAATTAAAAGCACACCGATATTGAGTGTTAATAGAATGAATAATATTCTTTTATTTTTGCTCTTCAAATAACTTAATCTTCATATGCCCATTCTAATCGTGCATTTTACTAATTATACATGGATTCAAGATTTAAAGTTAATGAATTTTTCAACGAATTTAAATTAATTTGCAATAACAATTAGATTCACATAGTGTATCTCTTATTATATAGACATGGAAAATGTATGAGAGCATCCTACACCTACCCAAAAAATAAAAAAAACAAGACTAGTGCTGTTAAGTTAATGATCATAAAAAAGGTCCACATGTGTTCCTCATAGTAAATAGAAAATATGTACAAGGCATGCAAGAAAAGAATAAATAAGCACTCAATTGATTGCCAAGACATTCATGAATTTCAGTGGAAAATTGACTCTGTTATGGAACACTAGAATTCTTCCAGTACTGGTGACTTTGTTAGCATTTTCTATCAGTAAAATAAGGTGCTTTTAAAAGTAAAAGCTAAAGGAAAACGAGTCCAAAAAGATTACATATTTTTGACCCTCTAGTCCTAGCATATCTTCGGAAATGACACCACCAAAATAAATTCTAGGAGGGTGTGTTTGGTATGGAGGGGAACTTTTTTGAGAAAAAATATTTTTTGATTTTGTTATGTTAGATATAAATTCCTAAAAGAAAGAGAATAACTTGATGGCATTAGAAAAAAATAAGTTTCATTAGTGTTATCCCGCCTGATTGTCTACTTCTCATCCTCAATAATACACCCACTCTTCCCCGGCACCCCGGCCCCCACCTCCACTTCTCTAACAAGCCCGTTTACCGCAAGAGTTACATAAACACCTATTGTATTTTAATCTTGTTGATCGAGAATCATATCTGAGACTATTATTGTTTTACCGTCTCACTCTCCAACCTCTCCTCACCACCACCTCCACCTCCACTTAGGTTCATTCAAATTCTTTTTGGTGAAAATCTATATCTTTTATACATGGTTAAAAATATTTATATATAAATATATATATAGTAGAGAGTGGCGAAGTCAGAAATTTTGTTATGGGTGTCCAAAATTTAATATTTATGTATGCAAAATAATTTTTGACGTATGTATTTTGTACTATTTTCTACATACATGGTAAAATTTTCGATTAAGGGTGTCTAATTGGTCACCCTTGGCTATATGTGGCTACGCCACTAATAGTAGATGTTGAATCTCCCTCAACTTTATTATGTATTTACTTCTTTATATTTTGTGTTCCTTAATAAAATTTTTGACTCCGCTACTGATGGGACTGAGAAGAAGGAATCTTTTGGGTTTTGCATTTTTGAAAAGCCAATTATTGACTGTTGCTGATTCTTTCACCAACATGATTGACTTGTAGAACTTAAATTCCAATACAATTTCTTTTAGTTCTTTCAGTTTCTGGCACACCGTGTTCTCCCTTGTATGGTCCATTTGTCCACTCTTTCTCCCCACCCAAAGAAAGAAAACAATAAAATAGAACTTTAAAACGAGGCACAGAATACACTAATAAAGTAGCATTAAATTCAACATCTTGAATAGAAATATTGTATCAAGAACAAAAGCAAGAATATATACTTCCTTATCTGGGGGCTTTAAGCAGATTCCCATTTACCATTTCTAAGACAAAACTTCGCGGATTTTAACCTAAGTTATTAAGTTCTGTCAAATCATAGTTGCAACTAGCTCCGCCAACTTGCTCCTTGGTAGACTAATGCATGTTTGCTTTGAATCTCAGTTTCCACTTAATGAAAGTCTAGATATGTTTTAGATTTTAAGCTATTAAGTGTATTTGTTTACCTGATTTAAACACTATTTGATTTGAATAGGTCTTAATCATTATGATTTTGAATAAATTCTAAATATTATTAATAGGTATTTTTGTGTGGATATATAATTTTCATCATCACTCTTTCCTCAAACACTAGCCAACCCCACTAACTATCGATCTCTTCCATCACAATCACCATCATCATTGTCAACCACTATTACCATTGTCAACTATCAACCATATCTGTCAGCACAATTATCACTGACAACCACATACCACCACCACTATCATCCACTACCATCACTGCGATCAATCCCTACTACCAACCACCTCCACCATCACAACAACATCGTCACCAATTACCACCAACACAACGTCAACCAACACAAATTCTTCAGCCACAATCATCAACATCACCAATTACTAACATTGACCAAGTTTACCATCACAATCACTATCATTATCAACCGTCATCATCACGTAGTTGCTACCACGTCCATCATCACAATTATAACTATCACCATTACTAGCTACTAACAACAACTATTACCACCACCATTATTAGCCACTAACATGTTATTAACACCACTAATACTAGTCACTAACACCAACGTAACCATTATCATCACTATCACTATCACCAACGAACATAATTATCATTTTTTTTTTACGAAATACTAATTTTATTTTACTAAAATTATATTTTCTTAAATATTTAATTACTTTAGTATTTGAATTGTACAAATAATATGCATATTTTAGTGTTGAAAAACAAACCGTCTTAATTCTTCAATGCCCAAATTTATATATAACAACTTAACTATTCAAATATTTATTCAGATTCTTGTTAATTATAATAAAAAACAAATGAGGCCTTGATCTAACAGTAGGTAAAACTGAAATCTTTTACATTCAATTTAGTGGCTAGTGTTAAACAAGTTTCTATTGGATTTACTTAGGAGTGAAGATATTTTTTTCAAAAGTGAGAGATGTCAAATTTAAGTTTCTTTTATAGAAAAGGCAAAGAGCTATATGTAATCTATACTATTAATTCACTTTAGTAGCAAGTGGCTTGAACCCATCATAAAGCATTGATTACTTTGATGAATGCCCAACCAACAACATGACCATGTTAGTCAACATACCACTATCTCCAATAAAGCAAATTAAAGAAAACAACAAAGAAAAGGCAAAGCAAAAGTAAAACAGAACCCACAATAAACAGAAAAAATAAAATCAAGTATCCTCATCCTTTATTTCTTATCATCTGTTCCCTTTTTTCTATCTGATATAACCACATTCCTCTTAGGTAAATTCTTCTCATTCCTCTGTTTTCCCCTGTTTTTCCTCTGTTTTCCCCTGTTTTTTCCTCTGTTTCCCCTGTTTCCCCCGCTGTTGTTTTGTTCATATTGTTTGAGATGGGAGAGTGATCTCATTTTGGGCCACACAATTTTTCATTTTTGTTCAATCCCATGTATAATAAGAGGCGTTCGGACGACGAAAAATTGGTTCCAGTAAGTAATCCTAGAACTTTGGTACCATATATGAGCACTAGGGATTGTTCTCAAGGATTTTGCAGTTTTTACTGCCCACAATGGTGTTACATAATTTTCCCTCCACCACCACAATTTGACTTACCTGATGATGATGATGATTCTAGTCCTAATTTCTCTCCTCTAATCATCGCGATCATCGGAATTCTTGCTAGTGCTTTCCTATTAGTTAGCTACTATACTATAATATCAAAGTATTGTGGAAATTCAAGAAGAAGGGGAAGTCATCATCAAGAAGAATCAGAATTAGAAGAGGAGAATCATGATCCTTCAAATCATGAAGCATGGAATGTTAATGCAGCTGGTGGTTTAGATGAAGCATTGATCAAGTCTATTACTGTGTTTAAGTACAAGAAATGTGATGGATTATTGACTGAAGGAACAGATTGTTCTGTTTGTTTAAGTGAATTTCAAGAAGATGAAAGTCTTAGGCTTTTGCCTAAATGTAGCCATGCTTTTCATGTAATGTGCATTGATACATGGCTTAAATCTCACTCCAATTGCCCATTATGTCGAGCTCAGATAACTTTTTCTAATGCTCCGCCTCCACCATTACCTCCTCCGGTAATGGAAGCTCCGCGAGAGATTGAAACAACTCCACCAATCCAACCGGAACGTGACATAGAAATGGGCATCAGAGTAGAGGAACCACGAGACGAAGAAGATGTGACAAACCAAAACCATATGAATCAAGAAGTTAGGAGGAGATCATTATCAATGGATTATGCATCTCAACGTCGTTTATCAATAGCTGATGTACTAAGAATTGATCACGATGAATTTCATGATTGTGTAACGGGAGAAGATTGCGAGTTGCAAAGAGATGTTGGAACATCAAAACAAGAAAATAATGGTGAAGAAATGAGTAAGGGTGGAATTAGAAACAATTCACTAGTACAATATTGTCCTATGATGATGAAGAGATCATTGTCTAGTGGGAGATTCTTCTTTACCAAATGTGGGAGAGGACAAAACATGCTCACTACTTTGTCAAATATTTGAATATTTTTGTGTCAATTTTTAGGAGGATTTTTGTGTATGCTATTCAACAAAGAGTTGATTAAACATGATGAGTTTGAAAGTTTTTTTGAGCTTTTTTGTTCTTTTTTCATCCACTATTTTTGAATGGCTGAGTGAGTGGATGATTGTTCTTTACAAAAATCAAGAGAGAGTTCCATGTTTTCTTGAGTTTTGTTTGTTTGATTATTGATGAGAGGCTAATACAGCTATAACTGTTGTATTGAAAAAAATTTGTTGCAAGTGAGTGATTTTTATATATATAGTTATAGAAACTCTCTGTGTTTACGATATTATACATACCTTTTTCTGAAAAACAAATAAATTAAAGCGGTAACAATCTGGATTTCTCCGCACAAATACTAAGGTGTTATATTCTATTTTGATCTCAATGCTGAAAGGTTACATTACAACTCTCGATTCTCGAATATAAACAACAAAAGGAAATATGATTGGCAATCAGAAAAGGGACGGAGACAGATCCAGGTGAGAAGAACATACTGAGCCAAAGCTACAACACTTTTCTTTCTAACCTACCGTCCTTTTTAACCATTTGCTAATTATGTCTGAATCTTAAATAAAACTCACAAACATTTTACTCGGATTAATATTTCAATTGAGTCAGTATTCTTCCCCACTTCTAGCTCATAGGGTCTTACGAAGTCCAGCTTGGTGCACACAAGCCAACATGCTTAAAATATGAAATTACAAAGCATGAACGACCGGGTGACATCAATCTTTATTAACTATAGAAAATTATATATTCTAACGAACAAACTATTAAGTGAATCGAGGTAGTTAATTGTTATGCCCTACCTTAAAGGCTCATAATTCAAAACCGAAAATCCAAATTATTCAACCATTAATTCAAAACCAAACTTAAAAAATTAATCCAATCCGAGCATATTTAGATTGTAATTTCTTCAATTTTAAAACCAAAAATCAGAATCAATTTTTTTATATCCAATCCAAATGGCCCGAACATCCACCCCCAATTGTGTTTGTACTAAAAAAAAATGCACTTCGTGTAGTTTTATTTTTAAACCAAAAGTTCAAGGAAGATGATTTCACTCTTTAAATTATATGAAAGTGCTCAACTTAGCAGATTATATATTATATAGTATCTTTTACTGGAATTAACATGCTTGGCTTAGGAAAGAATAAATTAGAGAATTACTAATGATACTTTAATCGATGTGATTAGAATTTTTTCATAATGTTTAATAATGAAGTATGTTTAAATTAGGGTTATTGGGTAGGGCATGGGGACAGGGCTTTGTTCTGAATTCTAATGCTTTTAAGACAACCTGTTAGTTCCCCAACAATTGTGTCGTGCATTTTATAGAGTAACTTTCATATATAACAAACATAAAAATTATATTTGTATGCTATAGCTATAGTTTGCATAATTGCGCTCCATAGCAAACATAAACATGTATATTTCTCTATACATATACAAAAGAGAGCAGTTATATAATTTCGCTATACATATACAGAAGAAAGCAGTTATAGTTATAGTTTGCATAATTGCGCTCCATAGCAAACATAAACATGTATATTTCTCTATACATATACAAAAGAGAGCAGTTATATAATTTCGCTATACATATACAGAAGAAAGCAGTTGTGTAATCTGCTTTGATATACATATACAAAAGATCAATTGTATAATCTGTGTTTGTATAAAGCGAGAAAGAGAGAAAGACAAAAGAAAAATGGGCTAGGGAAGATCGTATTTGTATAATCATAAGTGTATAGGACGAAAATATATGCATTTGTATTTATATATACAATTTTCTCTCGTTTTATACAAATACAAACACAATGTATATAAAATTTAGAAAGGAAAAGTTGTTTGACTTCATAGGAGGTTCAAACGCTCCGTCTTCTTCTGGTATGATGGCACGAGGAATTACCATTCGTTATGATCAACGTCTATTTCTTTTGGATAAAAATTTTGTGGTGTTTAATCCAAAACAGAAGAATCCTTATGTTAAACACCTCCTCTCTGTGAAGGTGTATGATGGGATTAAGGATTGTCTTTCCTACAAGAGTCACCTAAAACACTTGAGGCTTCTCAAAAGCTTGAATTTGAACGGCATAACATTGACAGATTCTTTGCTGAATGAAATCAGTATGCTCGTTCATGTAAAGTACTTAATCATTCGGACGAAGGCTAAAGCTCTCCCACCGTCATTTTCAAACCTCTGCAATCTAGATACTCTGGTGGTGGATAACCTGAAGGGATTATGCATGATACTATCGCCTTGTTTTCTGGAGTCTTGCAAAGCTACGAGATGTGCGGATGAAAGGTTGTGCTCTCTTTGATCCGGACATCAACGAACCAACTGTGTTAGATGAGGGTTTAATGTCACGCCCCGAGCCTACACCCTGGGCGGGACTGGCACTCGGAGACCATTTCTGCCCCCAAGCGAACCCTTGGCCTGGCTTACTTAACTCAGCGGAAGACTTAACTCAATGAAACAACCTCAAATAATAACTTAAAGAATAATAAGTTGGCCAAAATGGCACTTAAGTCTTAAACAACATCTGAAAGATAAAGAAAGATATCTGAACTAATAACTATCTGACTGTCTATGAAGCCTCTAAAATACTGAGATGGATATTGGGACAAACCCCACAACATCCTAATAAATGAAAAACTGAAAGCGAATAACAGAGTCTTCTAGAATGTAATGAGGCTCACCACTGACTCTGAGTTGCTCAACTGGATCAATGAGGTGCTGAATGCTGATCCTGGTTACCTGCGTCTGCATCATAATAAGATGCAGGCCAACTGACATCAGTACGAGTATGCGAGTTGGAATGCTAAACCACATATAGGCTATAAGGAATCTGAAAGAAACTGAATAACTTACGTGGCTCACTCAACTAAACCTGACTGACTCATTTCAATATAAAGCAATTTAAAGCAAGTGCAATATAAAGAAAAGCTGTTTAAAACATGCTATAAACTCTATGTGTATGCAAAGATACAATAAATCTGAGATGTATGTAGAAATACAAATGAACTGATGTATATAGAAATACAATAACTGTTGTGGGAGTTTCTCTAACCGACAACCATCACATAAGAGCTATAGTGATGATACATCGATCAACCTTACGCTGCCAGAGCATCCTATACCCGGCCAAAGGTATAGAACCTGAACTGTCTAATGGATTCACTAGTCTAATTTGAAAATGTTTCATCTAAAAAGTATGAACCTCTTCTACCCATGATGGCTACATGGTTCTATGGGGGCTTTGGGTTCTTTGAACGCTCCCCCAATTCGGTGCTCAATACTACTCCCAAAAATGTACTGGCTCTTATGTTTTTAAAACATATTTCCTTTGTGATTTGAGATTAGTGCTCAAAAACTTAGCTCAAAGGCTATCTTGGAAATCTAAGTTCCCCTGCTTACTTCATTTAGAAAGGTATTACTCTTTTCTGAAAACTAGCCCGAAGGCTCTTTGGAAATCTCAGTTTCCGTTCTTATTTAAATGTGAAAACATTTTAAATCTCTTTGGGAATACTTAGTCCCCATATACTTTTGAAGAAATGAACTTCAAACTTTACTCTTTACTCTTTACTCAACTTGAACTTTGAGTCTTAAAGCAAAGTCAAAACATTTGGAACAGACTTACTGAAAACTCTAAGAACTCATCTTGACTTGACTCTTACTTCTCTTGACTTTGGTCTTAACTTTTCTTGAATTGGATTATGGATTCAAGGTTCATGATCTCATGTTTATGGATAATTTCATGATGTTTAGATGTATTTTAGAATGTTAGGAAACCTCAGAGAGCTAGGGTGGGGCGCTCTGGCTGGGGAACATAGGAACATCGCTTAAGAACACGTACGAGAAGGTGGGGAACGAATGGGGAGAACTAACGTCTCTGACACTCTGAGAGGCGTGGGCCGCCAGGCCCCAAACCTCAGAGAGCTGGGTGGGGCGCTCTGGCTGGGGAACATAGGAACATCACTTAAGAACACGTACGAGAAGGTGGGGAACGAATGGGGAGAACTAACGTCTCTGACACTCTGAGAGGCGTGGGTCCGCCAGGCCCAAACCTCAGAGAGCTGGGTGGGGCGCTCTGGCTGGGGAGACGCTCCAGAGGCCAAACCTCAGAGAACATTTTGGGGCACGCTGAGAGGCGCGACGCCCCAACCCCTGTACCCTGGTGTTCTCGACTTTTCTTCTCCGTTTTCATCTCTAAACCCTCCAAACTTCC